TTTTTTTTTCCTCTTCCCATCCCAGCTTAGCGGTTCTGCAGGGTAGGGAGTGATGAAGGAGAGGGAAGCGGCCCCCAGTCCTGGTTTTACTCTGCTCTTGCCACGAGATACTGCAGAAGCTCCTTAGGATCAAAAACCGTACGAGGGGCTGAGATAAGGCTGGTGTCGGGGTGCTGCAGGCTCGCGATGCTGTGCAAGGACTGCTCAGCACAGGAGCTGCCCTAACCGCACTGCCTCTGCCTAAAATGAGAATAATCTTATCTGCCTGATGGGAAAGGATGACTGAAGAGCTTAAGCAGTTGCTGGATCTCTGGGCAGAGAGTGTAAAGTATTGCACTGACAGGCAGGAGCCATTTAAACCCCCCCGGGGTTTAAAGCAGGGCAGGGGGAGAGGTGATAAACTGAATTCTGCTTTTCACCTAACTCCTTCTAGGTATTTTGAAAGAAAAATTGCAAGGCAATACAGACCTTCCTGTAACAAAGACTGTTGAACTTCTTCCATCTGTGGACCCCTAAAGATTTTCCAGCTGAAATGAGGCCACATACATAGATGAATTTCTTGCTCTCCCAGCCCTTCCCACCCACCTTGAAGCACGGAAGGGCTGGAAGCCCTCGCGCAGGTCTGGGGGATTTCATAGAATCACAGAATCATAGAATGTTTTGGGTTGGAAGGGACCTCTAGAGGTCATCTAGTCCAACCCCCCTGCAGTGAGCAGGGACACCGCTAACTAGATCAGGTTGCTCAGAGCCCCATCCAACCTGGCCTTGAAAGTTTCCACCGTGACAGCTCCACCCCAGACCATCGCTAGCGTGCTGGTACCAGGGGATCTCACTGTGTAGCACAAAACTGAGTTAAATAAGCAAGTGTGCCCTAAAGCAGGCAATGCGAAGCTAAGATTCCTCACCGTTAATGCTGGACATCCCAGCCCCTGCGCCCAAGCTGGGCTCCACGTGAAGCTGTGTCTGCTGCTGAGAGCTGCAGATGCCTAATAGTGCCCAGTGCAACCAGTTTAAGACAAAAATGGGGAAAAAAACCCCCAACCAACCCACCAGGCCCACCTATTACAGTGTGATGGGTTCGGTAATTGGTGTATATGATTTGTCTGTGTCCCCGGGGATCCCAAGGGCCAAGCGATACCCCGCATGTGCTGTGCAGGCATCTTGGGGCCAGTGATTTAGCAGCCTCCCAGGCAGGACTGTGAAACTGCGCTCCTGCTGTTTAATGCACTCGTTCAGGTTACAACAGGTTTAGCAAACAATAAAAAACCATCTGCAATCCCCGTTTAAACAGAAGAGTTGTGCTATTAGTAATGAAGTCATGACCACTGCTATAAAGCGCACTCTGGTAAACAAGTGCTGATGTGCAGGTAAATACAGGGAGATGACGACCTGGTGAGGGTGAGGGAAGAAGGCTGATCCCTGTCTTCCTCAGTCAAAGCTCCTCCTGGGTGTGACACCACCAACGTCCTTGCAGGGCATGAACCGTGATGCTCGCTCTTCCTCCCCGCTCCCCTCTTTCCACCCTGGGGGAGGTTATGGGGGTCATTGCAGCATCCCATGGGGGCACCCAGCCCCGCCGAGCCCCGGATGCCACCCTGTGCCCTTGCACCCCTTGGGCCCACTCCCACCTCCTCCCTGACCATTCTGAGCACAGCAGCACAAGGAGGGGAACTGGAGATACAAGACAAGACAAACTTCCCCATCTGTGTTCTGTGTTGGTCCCCACTCCCCATAGAGCTTTTGCTCCAGGAGATAAAGCAGCAGCCAGGCCCGGTGCACAAACCCATCCCTGTAACGGGGGGTACCTGCCCCCTGCCCCTGCTCTGCTGAGAGAAGGCGACTTCCTCCCTCTTCACCCTTAACTGCTATTTCAAAATAGGAAATAAAGGTCACCAAGTAAATAGAGAACAAATTAAGAGTAAACTTCTATTTCCCAGGTTACAGGGATCTAAGCTGGTTTGGTTTATCCTTCTCCCAGGTTCAAATAGTACATGAATCCTCCATCACACGATAGCCTCTATTTTTATTTGGAAGTCAGCCCTCCTCCTCCTCGATCGTGGTGCAGCAAGCCTCTCCCTACCCATAGAATCCTAGAATCATTTTGGCTGGAAAAGCCCTTTAAGATCACCAAGCCCAACCGTTGCCCTAACCCTGCCATCCCACTGGGGCAGCTCCTTATAGTGCCCGACAGCCCTTGTGGGGAAGGAATTTTTCCTAATGTCCAACCTAAACCTGCCCTGGCACAACTTGAGACAGTTTCCTCTTGTCCACCCAGCAGTGTCACTTCTGTTTTCTCTCCAGCTGCCTACCTGTGGGGGAAATGAGATGCAACAGGGGCTGCAAGGCAATTTCTGTCGATGTAGAGGAGGGAACACAAATGGTTCCCGTTGGCCATGGTTCAGCTCCATGCCAGTCCAGCCCTGCAGGCATGTCAGGGCCAGGAAAGGCGGCTGGCCACTGAGCCAGTGCCACCAGCCCTTCCCAACGACGCTGGGAAATGGTTGCCCCTTGGGAGTTTTTCAAGGCAGAGTATTTAAAACAACTGACCCCTTTAGCATCCACCTCTTGCTCGTAGGCTCTGCACAGCCCTGAGGAGCACAGGGGCGCAAGGAGGGCACAGGGCAGAGCCCCAGCCAGGGCAGCTTGGGGTCACCCCACTCCTTTCTGCGTTCATTCAACCTCTGGCAACTCCTGGCTCCGATGATCAACTGCACACCATTGCTGATCATCTGCATATTTGTTTCTGCTGAATCACTTGATAGCACAGTTTGCAGTTCCTTCCCCACCCTGTCGAAATCCTTCTCACGCGAGAACAGCCCTCTCCCCACGCCTCGGTGGCAGTGGCTTCGCGTGCCGATGTTGAACTCCAGAGCAGGAACAGCTCTCCCAAACAACAAGCCAACATACCGCTGCACTCTAAGGTGGCAAACAATAGGTTTTCATCCCATTTTCAGTTCAATACGCATATATTTTAATTGCTGCTGGTATCCAAGCTAGATACACCACACATGACTCACTAGCCTTGTAATTTGTAGCGACGCTGTGGTAAGTACCAAACCCCAGCAGCAGGAGCACACCGCAACCTCACCCCAGGCCACACACACCAGGCCCAGGGCAATAGGAAGCTGGCAGCATCTTGGACTGGATGGAAACTATCACAAATTTTGCAACGCATCAACTTCATGTGACATAACCCTGCACAGCCCACAATGTGCGTGGCTGCAGTCAACAGGGCCCCACAACAAAATGGCCCTGCACAATCCAAAACTGGGGTGCTGAAAAATATTAGCAATGAACTTGCACTTTCCCTCATGAAGCAGCAGGACGTGAGGAGATGCTTCGCCCCAAGGATGCAGCATCGGGCACCCCAAAGATGTACCAAGTCCCCAGCATGCTCTGTCCATGCCAGCCCATCTCAAAGGGATGCAGGTGGGACCATCTCTCATCTCCTGCTCAGGAGGTAAGCACGTGCTGAAGTCTTCACCTCCCAGCAGGACCTAAGCATAGGCTTAACTTTATATATGTTTAGGGCTCCGCTGAATGGACATTTCTGTTTCATGTGTACCCAAGCTGAGAGAGAGCCCTGAAGGCTCAGGCACCTGCGAGATGTGAGCACTTCTATTCTGGTCCTCCACGTGTGGGTTTATAACTCCAAAACAGGAAACCTTTGATTCCTTTTTCTCCCCGAGCCAGCTAACTGTTAATCTATTTAGCTACAGGAAATACTTCATGGGAGGGAAGGAGACACCTGAACTACACACAATCATAGAATTGTTTAGGTTGGGAAAGACCTTTAAGATCATCAAGCCCAACCGTTACCCTAACCCTGCCATCCCACCACTAAACCCTGGCCCTAAGCACCTCGTCTGCCTAGCTTTTAAATCCCTCCAGGGGTGGGGACTCGACCCCTGCCCTGGGCAGCCCCTGCCAGTGCTTGACAGCCCTTGTGGGGAAGGAATTTTTCCCCAATGTCCAACCTAACCCTGCCCTGGCACA